GTGAGTGCGGGGCTGCAAACTTCACTGTATATGTATTTTTTTAAAAAAATGCTCCTGTGTGTGTGTGTGTGTGAGTGTGTGTGTGGGGCTCCTCACTGCACACTGGCGGCTGTTCCACAGGCATTGGCAACTCGAGTAAAGGGGGGCCTGCGAGATGGATGCAATCTGTGAACTCGTGGTTTTGTCTGAAATATGTTGGCAGCGGTAAGAAATACCTGCTTGAAAGTTCCCATCTCCCCCCCCCCCCCCCCTCTCTCTCCCCCCTCTCTCCCCCCCCCAATCTCAGAACGAGTTTACAATTTTTTTATGGATCAAAAGTTTTCTCACCTTGTTGGAGGTGTGTGGGTTCAATTATTGTCTTGTTTATCAGGTAATGGGGGAGTGGTTGTGGGCAGTATTTGAGAGCAGTTGAAACTTCATTCAGGCCTGAAATAACATGACCACATAATTTGTCATTTAGACTATGATTTGGGAGCATTTTAGGGCAGTTTATCACCGTATTGAGCTTTGTTTTAAGTGGGTATTTTTGACCGCTTCTTGATTTTGTTTCCCGTTGAACCACCTAAGTGCCACCACTCCAAACTCACGTTATCAAGTTAAGTTATTTAGCTGGTATTTAGAAAGGAGTAAGAACCCAGCATAAAGACAGGGAGGAAATAGAAATTATTTGCGGTTTACTGTTCTGTTTTACTGTTTTCAGTTGTGGCATGTGAACTTTTTTAAAAAAAGGACTTACCCTAACACAAGTGACTACAGTCTGATGGTGTGTAAATGGAAAAATGATCTAGCTAAAATTATAATTTGAATCTCTGCCAACTTTAGGTCCTCCTATGCATCACATCCTAAGAGATGGACTGTAATTTGAAACTATCCGACCTTTGCATAGGATATGGTGGTGGAGTAAAATAGGTTAAGGTGTTGCCGATGAAATTGAATTGAGTCCTTTTGATTGCAGACTACCAATGGGTCAGAGAAATTCCTTCTCCCCTGGGCCAACTGGTCTTGTTTCATCTCGTGCATTTTGGTGTTAAATTTAACACTATTAACAAAACAGCCAGAAATTATGTACTGTAATAATCGTAACCTACAAAAACAAATAGACTCATTTGTAAATAGAAATTGAACACTAATTCTGCTTGGTTTGTTCCTTTTATCCACCATAACCTGCAAAAACAAACAGTGAAAACACATTTACAAATATGATTTGAACATTTCAATTTTGCTTCTATCTCCCAATTTTTATTCTACATTGTCTCACATTGATTTAAGATTTACCCAGTTTTTGAATAATTATTTAATTAATCTATTGCACTCTTCAGATTTTTTTTTCATTTGGCAGTTCACTGCTTTTTATTTTACTTCTTAGGCAGCATGAACGTGGTGAGGAGAGGGCAGTGGTTTGGTTACAGGTTGCACAGACCTAACAGATCAATATATGCCTTATTTTCTGTCAAACTCAGGTTTTTAAACAGTTAAGGATGGTAAGCAAATTGTTTTCAATGTCAAGGTGTTTTGCAGTGTAGATGGTTATCAAGATTAAAAAATTGAGTATTTATTGCAGTCCCTTCCCACCCCAAAAGTTAAGGCAAATGTGCTGTATAATAATGACCTTTGCATTTCACTGCCTGAATTGGCCTTAGCCAGCCTGTCAAAATGCAAAGATCACAAGAATGAAATGCTGAAATAATAGATGTGACCAGGTCAACCTTTCGAGGTGGTTTTCTGTGTCCAAATGGGAAGGAAGTGCCATCCAACTCGTTACACTTGTCAGCGTCCCTGGGAGAATAATGTGCCTAGACGGGTAAGCCTGCCATGCCTTGCCAAATGTGCAGGTTGTAAGTTGTGCAAAATTCCCCTTAAAAAAACAGTTTTTATTATAAATGTACACACTTAAGGATTCCAAGTATTCCAAACGCTTCTCATATAATTGTGATTTAATTTGAAGCCTAGATGGATGATTAGTGGGAAATTTATTTCAAAAGAAAAATAAACTTGTTAGACATAATCTTGATGCTGTTTTTAAAACACCGATTTACAAAATCAGATGATTACGCATCCCTAGGTTGGCCAGTAGACCAGCTACAGCAATACGTTAAAATACTATTTGTTCACCTCTGACTTGGGTTTGAATTTTCTCTAGGCTGATGGGATAAGACTCTTCTGCAGGCTAGAAGGGTTTCTTGTGAAATAAGATTGGGCAGTTTTGTCTAGTTTCTAATGAGCATGAGTGCACTGCATGAAACTTCCCATAATTCAGCACTAATTTAGTATCCTCTGAGGCTATGACTAGTTTGGGAAGTGGAAATGTCATGAAATGCTTTTCCCAGATTGGGATGGTATTGAAATATATTTTTGAGTGCAGTGTGGCGACAACTTTGTCCTTAAATTGATCCAAATCCTTTTGCTGATGGCACAAATGTAGTCGTATTCCATTTCTTAGCAGCAGCATCTAACTGTCCTGAAACCTACAAGGCAAACTTTTCAATTTTTGTTTTTTGTGTTTATTAAACTTATTGGTGACCATTTCATTGCATCTATCTCTGTATTTAGAATGGACTCAATGTGCCTTGCAAGGCATTTTACCATGGTAATAACACCCCTTAAAGAATAGTGAGTGTCAGTGATATCATTTTTATGAGATGTCACAGTGGTTTCCCAAGAGTGAGGAGATCAGCATAGAATTTAATAAATGGCAGACATGTATTTTTAGAAAAAGCCCATATTTAGTCAGATTTCATTGGAGGTGATTGGTATTTTAATTTGTACTGCAAGATAGCCTGTAGCACCTTGACAGTTACTATTTTTATTGATAGTTCGCTGCAAGCATGTTGAGATACAATGATTAAAATCTTGTTGCTGTTAATCTTGTGAAGTACGGTGGCATGACCAATGTGTTGATGAAAATCACTGGGCTGCTAAAATATCTGAAAATTGGGAGATGATGGATCAACAAATATAATCAACCTAAATTTGCATTCTGCTTGGTGGGAATGATTCTTTATTTACTCTCCCTGGCAGAAAACTGCTACTCAAAAATAATATCACTGACAACCATTCCTTTTCATAAGAGGATTTTTTCCCTATACTCCTGTAAGTTTTACATCTGTACAGGGCTTTTGTTGTGCAAGTTTTACATCTATATGGTTATGCCCCCAATTTGCGTTCAGGACTACAATCGAAAGCTACGAGAGAGAATCACACTCCTCAATGCCCCCATTACACTGCACCATTTATTGAGATGATGTTGATCTGAAAATTCTGTTTGTGTACAACATGAGCTCCTTATTTCAATAATAGCACTCTGGACAGTTGACAAGTGGACATCAGGTACAACTCCCAGGCAGGGTTAAGAGAGAAATTGACTTTGGGTTCTAAAGTTTTAATGGTTCTTTCACTTGCCTTGTGTATGCTAGGACTGATGCTCGTCTCCAGTAGAAAAAGAAAGGGAAGCTGTATTCGACTGTCAGCATCACACAGTTATTCAAGTTGTGAATAGAGACTCGTATTTTAATTTTGCCACTAAAATTAACCTTTTTTTTTCAAAAAATATTGAATTGCACACGTCTAGTTCAAATCTCACAATACAAGTGTGCAGTTTAACTTCCTGTATTGGCGCCTTGTTTAAATGCCAAGTCTATTCAGCTTGGCTCAATGGTATCATTCTCGTCTCTGAGTCAGAAGGTTGTGGGTTCAAATCCCATGTTGGGACGTGAACTCTTATAGTCTGAGCTGACACTCCAATGCAGCACTAGGGATGTGTTGCATTAGCAGAGGTGCTGTCCTGTAGATGAGATGCTAAACTGAGGTTCTGTCTGACTGTTCAGGTGGACGTTAAAGACCCCATGGCACTGTTCAAAAAGAGAAGGGAGTTTCTCCCAATGTCGTGGCCAACAATCCCTCAAATTAAAATTGGTGACTGGTTCATGGCTGATTCATGGGACATTGTTGTGCACAGTTGAATCATAGAAAATCACAGCGTAGAAGGAGGCCATTTGGCTAATCGTGCCTGTGTCGGGTCTTTGAAAGAGCTACCCAATCACTCCCACTCCCCCCATTCTTTCCCCATATCCTTGCAAATTTTTCCTTTCAAGTACCTATCCAATTCCTTTTCAAAGTTGTTATTGAATCTGTTTCCACCATTCTTTCAGGCAGTGCATTCCAGACTGTAACAACTATCTGAATTTAAAAAAAAATCATCTCCCCTCCGGTTCTTTTGCCACTTATCTTGAATCTATGTCCCCTGGTTACCGCCCACCTGTCAGTGGAAACAGTTTCTCCCTATCTACTCTATCAAAACCCCTCATGATTTTGAACACCTCTATTAAATCTCCCCTTAACCTTCTCTACTCTTAATTGTCCTGCTGTGTTTGCCTAAAATACAGTCACTCCGTTTTACAGTAATTCCTGTGAAGCGCTTTGAGATGTCCCTCTGATGTTATAAGGTGCTACACCAAATGCAAGGATTATTATTATTGATTCTGAGATGTAATATCTCTTCCTCCCCCCACCCTCACCGAACCAGTAACTTGCACTAAACCCAAAAGTTTGACTGAAATAACCTGTTTGGATATTGCATCATTTTGTTGCACAGGGTACTGTTAATTATTAATTATGCTTTGTTGGGAAGGTACTACATGTCCCAGTACTTCAGAAATGGATATTTGTTGAGTGGTTCTTCAAATATGTTTGAAAATATTGAAAGCTTAACTCTTTTTGAGTTTGAGTAGGTTTATTTTGCTTTTTTGAAAAGAAATCTTGAATGATCTCTACAAATAATAAAACAAGACAACAGAAAAATTAGTTCTTCAGCATCTACAGGAGAACTTCATTATAACAGATTCACTCAGGTTTATAACCTGATTTACTTACTCAAAAAAAATTCCAAAGTGAATGACTCGTTAAACCAATGTCCCATCTACCTGTTTAGGTGGATGTTAAAGATCCTTGTGCACTATTTAAAAAAGGGAATGAGGTTTCTCTGTGTGTCCTGCTACAACAAT